GGGGGGGGCATTTGTGGTGCAGTAAGATTCGAGGGGATTGGAGGGGGGAGGGATTTGGCCCGTTTAATCCAATCAGACACCCACTCGGTCATCTCTCGGTTATATGCTGCCGCGCCATCGTGAGAGTGTGACATTTTTGCCCGATGGTGTCAGAGGACAGGGGTGTGTGGGAAAGGAAGACTATGGAGACACGACCGGGAGGATGGGAGAGAAGTTGGGGCGGAGGGGAGATGTGGTAGGGAACTTTATTGACTTGAAGTAAGGCAGGCAGCACCGTATCGCATCGTGACACTTCCGCTCGGCCTGCGGTCTCCTCCCCCTGACACACACGTCCCTGTTGCTCGCCCTTGCCCCCCCCCCTTCCCGCCGCGATGCTGTCTCTCCCCGACGACGCTGTATATGGCTTCCATGCATCAGAGAGAAGCCCTGCCCCAACCTGTCGCGGCCCGAGCCGAATGTCAAAGGTGCCTCCCGCCTCGCCCCGACAGGCCCACTGCGGCACCAGCCCTGATTGCCCTCGCCCTTGGTGTCCTCCGTCCTACAAATACCATGGTGCAGGTCTTTTAGTGCAACTGCGCTTGTTTGGCCCAGAGGAGGCACAAAAGTTGGCAGAGGCCGAGAATTTAAAAAAAAAATATCGTCAACGACAGAAAATGAGGGATGTCATGAAAATGAATTTTTTCTTCCATGACTGAACTTAAATGGTAGAATTTTATTTCTTTGAAAAATTATTATTTACATCTGAGAATTAATGAGTACTCTTATATTTTAGTTTTTAAAATGGAAATCTTATTATTTGCCAACCTTTGGAGGGATTCCGCCCAGCGTATTGACGGGGAGAGGTGGGAGCCCCTGCAATGGTGAGGGTGGGCCACCCGCCGTGCCGCGGAGCGCCGCTCGCGCGAGAGTTGCCTACCTCACCGGCGGTCACCATGACCTGATGTTCGCCTCCGTCCGCAGGTGCCGCTGGAGGACCTGCAGGTGGCGTCCCGGCTGCTCGTGCAGGCGCTGCACGTGCGCGAGCGCTACATGGCCGTGTCCAGCCAGAACTTCCCCACGGTGACGGCCCGCTTCCTGCGCACCGTGGGCTCGGGCAACCCGCACGTCCTGGACACCGTCAAGCACGAGGACAAGAAGACGATTCAAGGTACGCGGGGTGGGAACCGTTCAGCACGCCTGAGCGAGGGCGCAGGTCGGATGGGGCCAAGTTTATGTCGTCACCACCCTCGGCGGGGTGTGGCGGGTGTGGCATTTACTTGGATCCCTCCTCACAGTTTCTTAAATCGTGCGGGATTGATTTCCCGTGCCCTATTTGATTTCTCTTGTTTTGTTTTTCTGGGTATCTTCTTAATCACATTTTAGAATTTGTACCGTCATATGTTCTAGTCGTTTTATTTTTTATTTTGGGCAAAACTATTTTGTTATATATGAAGCGTAACATTGTCTTCAAGCTGCATTGCATTTTTCTTTTTAAATATTTTTGTGTCTGCTGTACATAAATGTATGTGTTTCATGCTTTGTATAGGCAGGAGGGCAGTTATCATTTTACTTCTGTACGTTTTAAGGTGTAAATGATCTTATGAACAACTCCCCAGTCTGATGAGAAATTTTGTTGTCTTCATAATTAATCTTCAAAATTTTATAAAATTCTCTATTGAATTTTTAGAAAGCAGTCTTAAGTCTACTTTTACCACCACTATCCTGCTCTCAAATTATTCTTATGCAATGCATGATACATAAAGTAATTTTTAATGTTAGCCAAAAGTGGCTTTAAATTCATATCATAAAGACAAAAATATTTGCATGCAATATTAACAGGCTCTAAATACTTTTCCAACCATTTTTTTTTTCTGGTTAATGTTTTGGGTTATGGGTAGCGAGACCTCAGGAATGAGGTGCTGCACCAACCTGGCTGGCAACTGATACCTTCTTTTCATTAGACAGTAAGTAGAGGCTGTGGAGTTTACAAAATCTTGCCACTTACCAATTTTTATGTATCCAGCCTTTATTTGTCCCCTGATGAGAATTACCTTAACTCTGTGTTGCCACTTTTTCCTTTCCCTTTCCTTTTTGTTCATCTAGTACTCTGTGAGATCCACTCAAGTAAACATTTTGATTGAGAATGATTACTAAATTTTTCTGAATGCTATTGATTTTGAAGAATACTAAGATTTACATTTCTGTCTATGTGACTTCTAGGTTGGGGATGTTCCCCTCAATCTGACAAATCCACCTCCCAGACTTCATCCATTTGTGATCCCTCATCACCACCCTCATCCTCAAGTTCAAGCCATGGTCTCATGCCTGTCAACATGGATGAAAATCCCTCTTCCCCACCCCTTCTCTCCCATGGAAATTACCATGCTGACACTGATTTTAAAAGAAGTCAACGTGTTGACATTGCCCCTCCCAAAAGTCCGAGTGACTTAGACCTTGATGAAATGCTCCTTGATGGAACAAATTGGCAAGGTGGGCCTTATGATTCATTTTGTTAATTTAATTTTACTTTCATGTCAGAGTTGCTGCAGTTTGTCAACCGACAGAAATAATTCATTTGCAAATTATTCATTAGGTACCTAAGGGACAAATGAGTTATGCTTGAAACCTGTAATAAGTGTCTTCCGTTCTATATTCATCTCAATGGGACCTCTTTGACAGAACACAATCAGCTAATGCCATTATGCATGATAATCTGCATACACCATTAGATGCGATCACCTTTCTCTCTCAGGACAGGAGAAAGGCATGGTGGCAAATACTTATCAACAAATCCTCTCCTCATGCTCTTTTGTTCTGTTTCCATATTGCCAAAGCTGTCATTTCTTAATGTCATGTAACTTTCTATGTGTTCTGTGGACGTGGTACTCAAAACCGAAAGCATGAATGCATGTAGCAGTGGCTATAGCACTGTGAATCTTACGGAAGTCTTCTTCTGTCATGCAAAGGATGCAGGCCTCTCCGATGTACTAAGTGGCTTGGCCGGCCACCAGGTATGATGAAAAGTATTCTGCTAGGATGTTAGCACTTCACTTGCACTCTCACTGAAGGCAGTCTCTCGTTGATGAGAATACTGACTCAGTCTACTCTGAGATGTTTTTAATTAGATTTTACAGGCTAGCAAATTCACAGGGATGAGTTTTGTATCAGTTTAAGTACAGTACTTTTCTTATATCTAGGTTCCATTTTCTTCCAAAAATCTGTGAATCCAAACATATTATTCTGCATGAGTTTTATTCATTTTTGTTCCAAATGGTTTATTGGTTTTGAGCACTTTATGATTTATGCATGCGTGTTATTTCCTTTCACTAATCTTCACTCTTAAAACAGCAGTGCACTTCACTCACTGACACATATATTTATTCAAGCCAGTAATGGAAGAAAGAAGTAAAAGAAATGAGTGATTATTTTTAGTCTGATTCATATTAAGTTATTAAATTCATTTTGTAGATACAGTTTAAGACCTCAATTTCCTCGTTCTTAAGATGACCCTCTACCTCATCAATGTGTACTGGGAAAACAAAACTTAAAATATTGGCCGGCCAAACTGTTTTGGAAACTCATTCATCCCATTCTTTAAAAGTTAACAAGAATTCCATTGTAATTTTTCCTCCAGATCATCCTGTTCATCCACCTGCCAGCCGTGGTGATCCTTGGGAGTGTGAATTCCCTAAACCAAAAGGATATGTGATAAAAGCTGTGGATGGAGTCTTTCAGCTATACAAGGACCAAGATGCTGTGGAGAAAAATGAACCCGTGAACTATTCTTATCCAAATCTTGCAACATTTGTGCAGGATATGAATTTGTTGTGTACCATGATTGCAGATGGCCCACTGTAAGTAATCGAGGCGAGGATTGGATCTTGATTGTGAATGTGTCTTCACTAATTGTTATTTATTTTCAATGTCCAGGAAATCATTTTGCTATCGACGCCTTAGCTATTTATCCTCTAAATTCCAACTTCATGTGCTTTTGAACGAAATGAGAGAACTAGCTTCACAGAAAGCTGTTCCCCACAGGGATTTTTACAACATTAGGAAGGTAAAAGTTTGTCTGTGATTTGGATCCTAGGATACGGTAGTTATGAACACTTCTCATTAGAACACATTTTTTCAAATAGGTTGATACTCACATTCATGCTGCATCTTGCATGAATCAGAAGCATTTACTTCGTTTCATAAAGAAAACACTGAAAAACCATGCTGATGAAGTTGTAACAGTCAACAAAGGCCCAATGACTCTGAAAGAAGTCTTCCAGTCCATGAATTTGACGTCATATGACCTCACAGTTGATATGCTCGATGTCCATGCAGTAAGTGTATTGAATTTTCCAATTTTATTACTTTATAATGTCTTGTTACTAATTTCTTTTAATACTTTTGTCAAGGACCGAAATACATTCCATCGATTTGACAAATTTAATGCCAAATATAATCCCATTGGAGAAAGCAGGTTGCGAGAGGTCTTTCTCAAAACTGATAATTATTTGAATGGGAAATATTTCGCAAGAATCATTAATGTATGTAAAACACACACAAAAAAAAGAAACTAGAATGTTTATTGCCATCAGTACAAATTTTTGAATTTTTTTTATCTCATTTGAATATTTTTCTCTTAGGAAGTAGCATCGGATTTGGAAGAGAGCAAGTATCAAAATGCTGAGCTTCGTCTGTCAATTTATGGAAAATCCCCTGATGAATGGGACAAACTAGCAACATGGGCTATCACCTATGATGTGTACTCTGACAATGTTCGTTGGTTGATTCAGATCCCTCGTCTGTAGTAAGTAACCTCTTTTGTGAAACTTCCTCTCATCATTTCATGCTCTCTTTATTTTATATTGATTGTATAATAATTGTATAATTGATTTTCTTAATTTCAGTGATATTTTTAAGTCAAACAATCTCATGAAGAATTTCCAGGAGATTTTGAACAATATTTTCAAACCATTATTTGAGGTGACAAATGACCCTAATACACATCCTGCACTGCACAAATTCTTGCAGTATGTTATTGGGTTTGACTCAGTGGATGATGAAAGCAAACCAGAGAACCCTCTGTTTGACAAAGATGTCCCTCCACCTAATGAATGGTGTGATGTGGAGAATCCCCCTTACGCTTACTATTTGTATTACACTTATGCTAATTTGACAGTTTTGAATGCCTTCCGCAAGTAAGTATAGTTTGCTTATTGTTGTTTGTGCTTGTTGTGAGAGAAATCAGCTTTGTTATTCTTCCTATAAATTATATCCATTTTCTTCTAAGAATTATGATTTTCTTGTTCATTTTAGGGAACAAGGCTTGAATACCTTTGTACTGCGTCCTCATTGTGGTGAAGCTGGACCCATTCAGCATTTGGTTTGTGGCTTCATGATGGCTGAGAATATATCTCATGGCCTTCTTTTGCGCAAGGTTTGTGTTCTATACCAAATATGCAGCTATCTGTTGGGCTTTTCCTGTTTGTTTTTAAATACTAATTCAACTCAAACTCAGGTACCAGTTCTACAGTATCTTTACTACCTGGCTCAGATCGGCATAGCAATGTCACCTCTCAGCAACAACTCCTTGTTCTTGAATTATCATCGTAACCCTCTTCCTGAATATTTGGCAAGAGGTTTAATCGTCAGTCTCTCCACTGATGATCCCCTGCAATTCCATTTCACAAAAGTAAGTATAGATATGCGATATTACCGGTACAAAGGAATCAATAAGACAGCACCATTACTATTATTTTTAATTTAAGGAACCATTGATGGAAGAATACAGCATTGCAGCTCAGGTTTGGAAACTGAGCAGCTGTGATATGAGTGAACTTGCTCGTAATTCTGTCTCAATGAGTGGCTTCCCCCACAAGGTAACTAACTTCAACATAAAGAGGTCATCTTTCTAAAAATTTTGCTATGGTTTTTTACTTGGTCAATTCTCCAATTCTTAGATGAAGCAGTATTGGTTGGGTCCAAACTACACCAGAGAAGGTGTAGCTGGTAATGACATCACACGCACTAATGTCCCTGACATTCGAGTTGCTTATCGTCAGGAAACACTTTTGGATGAACTCTACAACATCTTCAATGTGGCTGAAAAGGAGGGAGTGCCACTATGACGGCCAGCCCGGCGCCGACGATGTCGACGTTCAACTCTCTTTTGAGTAATATAGGGCCTTAAAAAACAAAAACAAAAACAAGGTTCTCTCCGTGTACTGGTCATGTCCAAAACTGTGAGTACATTTCTGTACTGTATTCATTTTGGGTGCCAGTTGACTGTAGTATAGATATTAATTGATCTTTGAAAAGAAATTTTTCTATTAGACTAGTGTTATATAAATGGGAAAAAACAGCAGTTTATAAAACTAGCTTTCCAACTATTGCCTTCTTTATTCAGGAGCTTATCGATATTTGAAGAGATTTGTCATCAACAAGGTTGTAGCATTTGCTAATTTGGATGTGTTAGCATTTTAGACTCAGAAAGAAATGAAAGTTAAAGTCTGTCACACTGAAGAAGTGTGACTCATAGAAATTGGCAATCAGCTTATCATTCTATATCAATTCTACTTTCTCTCAATGATTCTGCTTTTAGCTCATGGTGATCATTAAATTGTGATTTTTTTTCTTATTTTGATGTATAGTGTCTAGAGACATCTCTATTGTTAACCAATGTTGATTTTAGGAAAGAAATATGTCTGTGATTGTGATTTTCCATCTTTCTTATTTCTCTCTGTTTTATTTTTTAATCTAATTAAATTTTGCCTGTGCCTATAATGAAAAAGAAGAGAAGTAAAGTGTTAAGATTTGAGGAGTAATGGTTTGGAATTACGATAGACACTGGTTATGTACAGACATTACAACATTTGTATATCAGGTGTGTACACATTATATTTCTATTTATTTACTTTTTAATCACATGCAGTGTTAGGAAATTGCTTTTCTGCAATGTGCAAGAACATCAATTTTTATCGGCTTTGCTTTGAGCTGTTCTCCAAAATTAAATGAGTTTGATGTACTAACTACTGCCTATTACATTAGGCGTAGAAATCCGCAATTGAATTTTGTGATAAACCTTTAATAGTAGAATCAACTGTGCTAATCTGATTTAATTGCCGAGTTTGATAGTATCATGTGAGCATCTGTAATTTTTTTTCCATGTCAGTTATTAGTTTCTGAATCAACCAATAGAAGTTGTATAGTAGTTTGACTGTAATCCATGTATTTTGTGTATTTTTTGTACCATTTAAATGTGAACCAAATAAAGAACTTTTCCACTCCTGACCAACTTAATTTTAATCATTAATTAATTAAATACAGCAAAGCTAGAGGCCAAATACAAGAAATGCCATGTAATACTTGTGGCTTTTGCACAGAACAGTCAACAAATAGTAAAGCTACAAAAATGTCCACATTCAGTATCATTTTCTTCCCCAGCAGAGAAAGTAATCTTCATATAACAAGTTTGACCAACAGTTAGACTGTAACAGCTGCTTTGTCCATAAAAGATGCTAACTTAATGTCTCTCTGACTAAGCCCATTCACATCATGAGAGGACAATGTTACTTGAACCTTGTTATAGACATTAAACCATTCAGGATGATGATCCATCTTCTCTGCTAACAGAGCAGTTCTTGACATGAAACCAAAAGCCTATGAAATAAATAAAATAATGTTTTGAAAAATGTGCAACCCAATAAGATGGCATAGGTAATAGATACATGGAGGATTACAAACCTCATTGAAGTCTTTAAACAAAAATTCTTTATAGATGGCATCTCTCTTCTCAACCATGGACCACCCACTACCAAGCAATGGCTTTAATGCAGATTCACGATCTTCAGCAGAAAGTTTTCCAGCCTGCAAATCAATGATGTTGAATAAACAGTGTGAAAAAATGCCTTCTCTAATTCAATATTTCATTTTAAAATTTCTGTAAAGGTCGGTGGACTGGAATGAAAAATGTGTAGGAACTTCTGATAGCCTTTGACCCTACAACTGATAAAGGGGAGGAGACAAAACAAGATATGATTGTTCAAAGTACAGTAAATAAATTTTCTAATGTTTTAAAACTGCACTACAAAGTATGGTCTTAATAAACCATTCCCGGACATTAACAAGTCGGTAGTATATGACTTCGGGAAGTCCCAATCAGGGAGGGGGGGGCTTAGGCAAAACCACACAATAGGGGTGCTTGGCAGGCAAAAGACATTCTATCGCAACCTTTGGTGCCTTTGGTGCATACAGTCTAAATTTCAATCAAAACTATTTAACTTTTCTAATCAGTATAAAATTTGCTGCTAGCGGAAAGGAGACAGGGGCCGGGGGGACCGGGGG